GAACAGCATCTCACCATCTGCACAATGATACAATAGCTGGGTTTCAGTCACGTGGTTTCAAAGGCGGAGCGACCTCCGCTGGAGGGCAGGGGGTAAAATGTCTATGGAGGAAACTATTGCAGAGAGTTTATATTGTATGGATTTAGGTCCTATTTCAAGATAAATAACAACAATTTGTTCACAAATATGTCCGACATGACTCGTATGATGAAGATGAATGAGTTTTCGAGAGAACCTAAAGATTTTCTGAGGCTGTCGGTACCACACATATCTTACATCAGCAGGCTGTTGATGCCAAATAATAACCAGCAAAAGTTTATCTGATGAATAATTACACATTATTCTGCCCAACCCTATAACACATGATAACACTGATTATCACACAAAGATGAAAAAATGTAGAAAGCTCACAGAACAAACGTAAAAAGTGGATTTTAAACCGTCTGTGGTCAGGAGGAGCAGAATGCCCCCGGTGCCTGCAGCCATCACTACATTCAGAGGTATGTTAGCTGCTAACTTGTTTTAGAGGTTATGTTTATAATGATCGTTTATTTAGTAGTGAGTATTAAGTTACTGGTAGTTTAATGTGGACCTCATCTGGACTTAAGGCTGCCCTAGTTCTGCGTCATTAGGTGCTGGATGTTTGTTGACGTTAGCCGCTACTGGTGGCATTATCTTAAACACTCACCCTGGCAAAAAACAAACGCTAATCATCGTGGAGCTGTTTGGTACCGAGGTTGTGGATCCACCCGCTGAATAAAAAGTTCTACACCTCCTGTTGTTTACGTGATTTCATCAGCTGTTCGGTGTAGTTAGCACCACACTGCCCCGGCAGACCGGTAACGGGACTGTAGAGTCCACTCTGTGCTCGATCTTCTTCTCTTCGCTCGTATAACTGAAAGAGTGAATCACCTACTTCCTCATCAAAGACCTCACTCTGTCTCCGACTGTTTTTCCTCCATCTCTGCCTTTAAGCTCCTCTCTCAAGCTGCGGCTCGGTCCGACTCAGTCCACCTGTCCGTAGCTGGACTGGAGCTCCACCTTCATTGCCTTTTTTTTGCATCAAATACACTAAAATAACTAATTAAACTTCACCGTAACTATGAAATATAGTTGTACAAATATAATAAATGTAATAAATTACGGATATCTCATTGCTGACTTCCGATCTCGCTCTCTCCATCGCAGCCGAACTTTATTCAACTTCTGCCTCTTTTTATTTTTATCCTCCTGTAGATTTTTTGCCRCTTATCTAATATTTTCAGATTTCAGTCAGAAAGGAGTTTAAGGGGGTTGAGGTTTCTTCGGCGGGGTGGGGGTGACACCAGAGGGTGGAAAAAGGTGTTTTTCCCCCATGAATCAGCCCTATTTTGCATCTTCCTGCTGCAACGTGCTTCAAATATGACGAACATTAATAAAAAGAGCCTAGCCTGGCCCTTGCCTTCCTACGCAACTCCGCTCAATTCTAGTTTCCCTTCACTGCTCCGTCTGGGACTTCTCCCATTGAGATGGATTTCGCTGGCAGATTTTTAGCCGGGCCAATCAGAGAACAGAATGTCAATGTTCTGCGCAGTGTCAGCTTGTAGTTTATTTTACCTGGACCAATCAGAGAACAGAAGGAGGAGCTTTGAACGACATCATGTTCTGCTCAGTGTCTGTTAGTTAGTTTAGCATACTGCAGTGGAGGAAGTGAATGAAGCCAGTCTGTGTTGATAAGGCTTCCAAATTAAATTAAATTTGTCTGACAAAGAAGCAGCTCTCATTTACAGTCGTCTCGTTTGGCTCAGTACTTCTCTCCTCTCAGTAGGGTTGTTTACA